ACTTACTCTCAACTACAATGATGTATTAATATAAGAAGTATAAACTCTTAAACTTAAATTAATAAATTCTAATAGGATTTCTATGTTGTCAAGTTTAGAGTAAATAATTCAATATATTCACCAATTCTTTGGGAGTAAACACATGGGGTATGAAGAAAATAAATTACTATGTAAAAATAAACTATGTCTAAAGTATAAAATAAATATAAAATAGCAGATGTTTACATGGAAAGGCAGGATCAGTGGGAGTTATTTTTAAAAGGTGAAAATATGTTCCATTGTATTTATTGATATTATCCTTCAAATAAATTCTTTTCAAATAAAATATTTATTTCATTATGCATAAAAACCTTAAAATACAACTTGCAAATTACTCTGTATTAGTCAATCATTTCATATTTTTCAGTTAATGTGAATTGAGTAAAATATCTTGAGAATTAAAAACACCTCATAATGTCACTAGCTCAGAATGACCAATATGTTTGCAATAGCATTTACTAAAATCTACATAATGCTTGTCACCTGCCAGACACTATACGATTTAAATACATAACTTATCTAATATTCTTAAGGTACCATTACTACCCCAGGTTAGTTATCTTGTTCGTATAGCTAGCACTAACTGACATACTCAGGAATTAAAACTAGGTGGTCTACTTAGGAGAGTGTACCTTTAACCACTGCTCTACCCCACCTTCTGAGGAAAATGATTCTGCCAGGGTCTGCTATGTATTTGAAAATCATTATTTAAACTATAATCAATCAGAGATGTCAAGTGTGAATATGCTTTTCTCATTATGAAAGTGAATTTGTGAGTTACAAGCAATGAAAAGGAAAGTGAGCATAATAAACATGCCAAAAGATTAAACAGTTCAAATGTCAAGAACAGAGATAGTACAGATAAAAAGCAAATAATCATATTTAACATTTGAGGTCATACCATTTAAGTTATCTACACCTACCAAAAAACTACATTGATATCACTTATAAATTACGCCCCAAGAGAACTGTCTCATTAACCTTGTTAAAAACATTAATGATACTTTATTTGTAAAATAATAAACTCATCAAAATATTTAAACAATGTTATTGTTTATTAAACAATACTATTCATATATCTCACATTTTTATGGGAAAAAGTCAATCTTTATTTACAGAAAATTTGACATAATTTGTTTTTACCTTTTCAAATACAAAGAAGCATAGAGATTTGACTCTATTATTCTAGCCTGAAGTCAGTCAAGAAGAAGTATGACTCTTAATAAATGTGGATCTACTTTCCTTTGAAGGTATCTTTGAAAGGAGCAGTAGGAGGGAAAGCAATGTAGATCTTCTCTAAAACTGAATTTCAAAGGATTTATTTGGCCTATCTTCCACATGGGAAGAATTAGAATTTTTTTTTTTTTTTGCCTTTTATTTCCCATTGTGAGATCCTAAATGGGAAAATAAGTCCAGGTTATGTAGGTCTTTATGCGGTATTACAGGCATTAGCAGCCATAGTGCAAGGAATGTAGGACACAAAGGCCTGTGTAACTGGCTGCTGTGAACTTTAGTGGCAAACCTTAAAAAAGGGAAAAGAAAAAGGAAAGAAGACCTTTAGCACTTCCATATAGATCTCAACATCACTCAAAAAACTTTCTTCAACTGGGTCTGATGCATTAATGAGATCATAGAATTACTGCTAATTTAGCATTACATCCTTTGGTGCAAAAAGTTTATTATTATAAATAAAATGCCATCATTCATAAAAAGTAATTGGGTGTGACAATAAGCCATATCTTAATATGTGGTTTATTACTGTGTGGATTAGAAGCAGAAAGCTTAAATTAAAAAGAGAATTCCTTGAATTTAATTAAACAGTTTTAAAAATTGTTTTGCAGGTATTTAAACAGTGTAGAAACACTATGATATATATATACTATGTAATATGTCTTAAAATCCCAACAACTCACCTCGTTTTAAAATTATGACAGATTAAAATTATGATAACTGTAATGTAAAATTAGGCAAACAAGTGAATAAAAATTGAGTAAATAATGCAATTTTACCTGGTGCACTTAGTAACAATATTCTTATTATTCAAATATTATCTTTTCATTATAAAATCTTCCTTAAACTATGATATGCATGTAGTTTCTGTATAATACCCAATGTCAGAATGAATATTCAAAAATCAATCTCATTAATGTTTTAAAAATGCAACTGCTAAACAAACATGGTTAAGTTTTTGAGCTATGCTAGTTTTTTGCCTCTCTCAAAATATAACTACTGGGCCAAGAGTTTCTAAATGATTTTCCAGTAAAAGACATCTGTATTGAAACCTAAGACACACAGGCACTATAGTAAAGCTTCTGAAATTTTCATTTTATAACCATAAATAAAATTAACCTATGATTTAACAAGGAAAAGATTAGAATAGCAATATGAATCATATTTAAAAGAAAGTACAAGAGAATTACTTAGTCCACACAAGGTAAAAGGAACTTTTGTTTTGTTGTGTTTTTTGTCAATAGTGATTCAGGAGATGAATCGGGTTCCTATGGGTTTCTGTGAATATCATTATACAAATTTATCATCAATGAACCAGTGAAGCATGAAACAGGGTTAATATAGAATGAAAAGAGAGTTTCTCCTCAATATATCACTTTATAAGCATATATTCTAGTTTTAAAAGCAATAATCTTCCACATAAAATTCAATACAAGAGTGATCACAGACCACATTAGATCGAATTATGGCAGGATTCAAATAATATCGAATCCAGGTCCTCATCTTATATAGGAATCCGTGGCATATGATCATTTCAGCTTCTTCACGGATACCCACAATGATGGGAACTTCATCACAGGGTGCTCACGAATTTTTGGAAAACTCTGTTAGAAAGCTCATGATTTAATCAAAGTAAAGCGGCTTCATCCTTTAAAATTTCTCATAGATTTATCACCATTTTGTCCTGTGGACTATCACAGGACAGTCAGAATTCCTTTTCTTACCTGATAGCTTTTCACTATTTAATGATAGCTTTTATTCTCACTTCTCCAAGCTAAGTCTTTCCACCGCGTTTCATAGAATACATCTATAATACACAATAATCTTTCTTTCTCTTTTGAACTTACTCTTTGCTAATGTGAGTTTGCCAACATCCTCCTCAACCAGGCGTGCTCAGAATTGAACACAACATTTAAGATGTGGTGATCATTGCAAACTATAATAGGGCATCCCTTTGTAGGACTCTATTAAGTCCAATTTAATAACACTTAACTTTTGCAGCCATGTTCCACGACAAATACCAAGCATTTGGCCAACAAAACAATGCTCATTAGTTGCGTAGTGGACTTTTTGTACCCAAAGATCTTAACATTTATATCTATTCCTATAAGGTATTATTTTCACGTCGAACATGTTAACATGAAGCTTTGTATTTGAACCTTAGGTATCTTATCTTAAAAAATATCAAGATACTCTATTTTCTTTTCTACCAAACTCATATCCCTTCAGTGTTGTATAGTAGTATGGAGCTACGTTGACTTATAATAGCTATCTCAATTTATTAATACTCTTAATACTCAAGAATCCCCAAGAAAAACATTTTCTTGTATGGCAATTTACATTTGAGAAATTTTGTCCAAGACTTCTTTTTCTCTTGTTTACTTTAAAACAAGTTTTTTAGAGAATAATTTTACAGTGCAGTACATCTCTGTAAGAGCGTTTCTTGGTAGTTGATCACGATTAAGTGACAAAATGCAGGTAATGACATGCTCAATTCCACCTTTGAGTCAGGACAAACAGTGTAACATCGACGACAACAACAACAACAAACCCTTAGGCTGATATGCCTGTGCCACAAATATCCATACATACCGCACATGAATTGTGCAGTGAGGAAAAAAAAAAAAAAGCTACTACTTTATTCTACTTAAAGTTGTCCTCTATTCAAACTTTTATCTCACTCTTCTCTCCTTCTGCACCATAATGTTCTTTCAAGCAAAGACAGAGAGTTCTGGATGATTCCAGTCTCTCCAAATCTACATCACAGCCTCCAATCGAGGTTCTTTAAAGTCAGGTTGGAGCTGAGGGAGCCTGGGCTGGAACCAGCAAGGGTTTCATCCAGCTCCTCCTCCAAAACACGCCCCCCAAATCGGAGCCAGAGGAGAGCCCAACCACAGAGAACTTCCACTCTATGAGGGCAACCTCTGAGTAAAGTCCTGCCTACAACCATTCATCTCCTCCGACCCCCGCCCAGCACTAGACCGCGCTCCTAGCACCGCGCCTTCTTCCGGAGCCTCCTCCGCCGGGCTGGCTAGGGGTGAGCGCAGGGGTTAGTCAGTGCGCACGTGACGCGCGATGCCCACATGACAAGACCGTGGGCGGGGGAGGGGGACAGCGGAGCGAAGAAGGGGAAAAGTTACAGAAGACCCGTCAAATCGCCCAAAGCAATTTGTCCCTTCCCTTCCTCGCCAGCAGTGGCTCACGGATCCCTAAGGGACAGCTGGGAACCCAGGCGTCTCCAGCCCAGTCCCAGAAACGTTGGACGCAGTTCTCCGCTCACCCCACCACCCTCTCTTCCCAGACCCGCCGGTGATGCCGCTGCACCCTAAAGTTGCTCCTTCCTTCTTTCTCTCCCTTCCTCCCCTTCCTTGTTTCTTTCTTTCCTTCCTTCATTCCCCAAAAGCTGTTCATCCACTTAGGGTGATGCCACTGACGCACATTCAATTTGCCCCAGGATCTCTGAGGAGGTCAGACCAGGCCGAGCACCTTCCAAAGGGGAGGGTCTAACTGAGCAAACAAAGTTGCACGCCACACCGCAACCTGCCCCTCCCCTCCCTTTAGCCCCCAAGTGGAATCCCCGGTAAAACTCACTTGCACTGCGGGTCTCCTCTGGCCCCTACCCCATCATCGCGCAACACACCCCTTTCAACATGCGCGCCCACCCTTTCATTGCCCTGCGCCCCGAGCGGTCCCACCGCCCGGCAAAACACTGAGCAAGCCGCTGCGCTCACCTTGCTTGACACACTTGAGCCGAAGGGGGTCCTTGCAGTGTTTGATCACGGCCAGCACGTCCCTGATGGTGAGCCCCGCCACGGGGGTCTCGTTCACCTCCAGCAGCAGCTCCTCCGACACCAACTTGCTGCCGCTCTCATAGGCCACCTTTCCGGGCTTCACCTCCCCCAGGTAGGGGAACTGTCCATTCTCGGCGCCCCCCTTCAGTTCAAAGCCCAGCTGGCCCTCCGGGTTCCTGCCAATGACACTCTCATGGACTTTGCTAGTCCAGTGGCTTTTCTTTTTCAAGCTTTTGGACATGGCAGTGGGGTGAGTCGCCTCAGTTCCTGGGGCTTCTTGGGGTTAGGGGGGTTGGTGGTGAGAGAATGAGGATGGAGGAGCAAGGGGGCCCAGGGGGAAGAACAGCAGACTTTGCCTTCTTCCCCCTCTATTCGGTGCTTTCCCTCTTCTTTGGATGGAGTGTGGACGAGGAAGGGGGAGGATGAGAGGGACGGCTGGGCAGAGGTAGGAGAGCTTGGGTGAGGTTGTGCTGTCCCTTGAATGACACTCAAGGCTGTGGCCCCGCAGCAGAGGAAGCGGTGGTGGTGGCGTCGGCGGCGGCGGCGGCGGCAGCCGGAGCTAGCAGTAACCGAGCTGGTGAGCGGGTGCGGTGGGGGTGGGGAAGGAGGGTAGGGATGCCGGGGGCCACTCCTGCGTGGTGCGAGTGGGAACGCGCGCGCGCGCCTGGGTGTGTGTTGTTAGCTGATATCCATGGCAGCTGCAGTGGCAGGGTGCGTGTGCGTGTGTGTGTGTGTGTACTAGTTGTACTGTACTGGCATAGGGGAGGAGGCAGGGGAGGAGGGGCGCGCGCGCCGGGTGGGGAGCCAGGGAGGGCTTCGCCGCTGCATCCCTCCCTCCCTCCGCAGCTTGACCCGGTAGTGAAGGCAGAGAGAGAGGCAGGCTGGGTCCGCCTGGCAGCCTACGGGAGGAGGCGGGAGCCGGGAAGGAGGGGAGCCGAGGCCCGGCGTGGGGAGGCCGGCAGGAAGGGCCTCGAGCCAGTGCGGACCTTTCTTCAGCCTCTGTGCCGCCGAGCCGTGCGCCAGGCTGCTGTGCGAGGAGGACGCGCTGACTTCCTCCGACCTGGGCTCCTATGGAGCAGAACTAGCGGGACCTGGACTTTGGCGCTCCTGGTGCCACATCTCGGGCTCTGCGAGCCTCCTGGCGTGGGATCCTGCCGTGAGAAGGAACTGGGGCGGGGGACCCGGCGGGGCATTGCGGGAGAAGGCCTGGGAGCCCTGGGAGAGTTCACTGTGTAGAGAGGTTTCATGTCTTCATCTATACAGTCACTTATTTGTCTCAAAGTTCTCGAAATTCCTTCTTAGAGAAGGAGAAAGTTAGAGAACTGGAGGCTGCGTACCCTGATTGCGCAGAGGGGAAGCAGCCTCGCGTTCCCCCGGGCAGGCCCCCTCCCGCGCGTCCCGCCAGTAGGGGAATTTCGCGGAGGGTTGCGGTAGTCTAGTGAAAGGCTATCCAAGGGTAAGGGGCTTCGCTTTTCCCAAGCAGGGGAAACAGAAAGGGTCTACAGGGCTAGGGGTGGAGATAACGGATGCAATGAGCAGCCTCCGCAGAGAAAATGGACAATTTAACTAGGGACCTGCGGCCGAGAGAAGGCAGAGGCGCTCCCTTGCCCATGAAAGCCACCAGAGTCGGCTTGTACCTGGGGAAGAAACCTTAAGAGGATCTGGCCCAACACTCCTTTAGTCACAGAGAAAGGGGAGAAGGCTCCGAGAGTGAAAATGGCACAGTCGGAGCTGGAACTCAGCTCGCTGACCCCAACCAGTGTTCCCTTCTTTTCACCAGGTTTGCATCCAGGAGAGGGGAGGATAGGGGCAAAAAAGGATGCAGGGAGGCTGCTGATTTCCACAGGAGAGCTATTTCCTGTGAGACATTAACAGTGATTTTTTTTTTTAATTCCTGTAACTGGTAAATGAATTTCATTTGCTTAACTTTTAAATGATATGTTTCAGACAAAAAAAAAAGTTGCACACCCACTTATCTCTTTAAAGCAGAGGATGAAAAGCACTGAACAGGTAGGATTCTTAATGTCTGAGATGAAGGCGATGTAGGAGGCAAACAGTACAGTTAAAAATGTTGAGTCGACCCAAACAGAAACACCAGGTTTCAATCCAAACTCTACTGCTTACTGAGAATGTGATCTTGAGTAAACTGACCTTCCTGAGCCTCAGCTTTCTTAGTTGTTAAATGGACTTTAAAAATACTAATCTGTTAAGACTGTGGTGAGAATGAAATCAGGGAAAGCAGGCACAGCAGTGCTCTCCTGGCACAGGTGAGTAGGCGTTCGAAATGATAATTCCCTTCCTCTTTCCCTCTTAGGTATAACTTACTACTTGGGGATGAGGGGGATCAAATGTAGTCAGAACTGGAAGAGATCTTAAAGATGATTTGTTTAACCTTGTGTCTTTTTTCACTTGAGAAAACAGATCCTCCATAAGTTGGCTGCACTAGTGAAGCTTATTCAGTGAGCCAGGGGCAGTGCCAGGATCTGAAGCCAGATCTGCAAGCAATGCCCAGGAGTAGGCAAGACTTGATAGCAAAGCCTAATCTCACCCAGAGAAATTGAGTGTTAGCATTATGAGGCATAGTTCTAAATAGAAACTCATCATGAGAACCGAATATTTATATTGTAAAACCAAATGACAAGCTACCATTCATGGAAGATACTAATATTTATTAGGTTCTAACTACATGCTAGATGTTGTTCTATAGGCTTTACACATAATACTTCATTTCTCCTGACATTTTGATAAAGTAGGTACTGTTATCTCCTTTTACAGGTAAGGAAACTGAGGTATACAAGGATGAACTTTTGCAAGGCTACAAATCTGGTTAATGGTGAAGGTAACATTCAGACCCAAGTGGTTCAGCTCTAGACTTTGTCTCAGTTACTGAATTGAACTCTCTGTGCACTTACCATGTGTCATACCAGCTCTCAGTATGTAGTGTCCCAAAAGATTGGGCCTGCGCTTTCTTTCAGGGGGCAATTAGGAAAAAAGTAAACAAATGGAGCAGGATTTGGGCATAACAGCATGCTTCTCCCATCCCCCAAATCCCAGAAGTGTCACTGGGGTGTGTGCCAGTTAATTTAGCACTCTTCAACTTCACAGCCACCCTTCTTTGCCCTAAATTGTGACATTAGAGTTGAAATCTGTAAACGTCTTTATGGTCAGTTGGCACAATGTTTAGGTTTGTCAATAGAAGGTGCTAAGGAAACACTGCAGAAAGAAAGGGGCTCCTTTTCTTGGTTCCAGTGCTTTCCTGCTTGCTCCTACGGTGTGGTGGCCAGTGAGTGACTTTCTGACCAGTGGTGTGCAGGAAGGCCATGTTACATAATCTTCAGTAAATTTGGCCAGTTCCCTAGTGTGTGTCTTTCTATGGAGTGCTGCTGGCATGTCAGTGGAATGGCTTCCTAGCAAGTTTTACTGAAAACACAGCTGATGGTTTCCTCAGCAGCCCAGTGTGTGACACCTTAAATTTCTGGATCATTAAGTGGACCACAGCCATATTATTTCCAATGAGATCCTACTCTCAGGCTTAGTAGGGTGGCGGGTGGGTAGGGGGAAGTTCTTCTTAGTTATTCTCTCTTTGGGTACTCTCCTGTAGCCTGACGGATAGTGACTATTCCCAACAATCACTATTGCTGTGTTCTTTAGTGGGCTTTTTCCCTCTCCTAATAGTTAACACCCTTTGACTGGATCTTGACTGATAAAAGTTGAACCCTGAGGAAAGCACTATCCTTGGAGTCAGAAATTGGGATCAGACTATATTTTTTCTATTTTTGTATTCCTCACATTCACTTTATTTACCCTTTTTGGATTTTATGCTATGTCAAGAAAAAAATATTTCATCACTAAGCACTCCAAGTGTAGAGCAGAACGCTAAATATTGCATGCTATTCCAGAAGAAAAATAGTTTAGGAATCCTAAAAGCCAAAGAAAGAAAGATATGAATGCATTCAGTTCTTAGAAGAGTTCTATGGGATAGATGCTTGTGGCAGACATGGTCTCCACCCAAATCTCCTAGGATCCCTTTGGTTGAACTGAGTATCCTTCCTCTAGCTTCTGCATTCTTTTGCTTCTTGCAGGCTTCCCCGAGACTCTCTTTGGAGGAATGCCCAAACGCTACTAGACTCACTTTGTCTACTGACTCAGAGAGCCAGACAAAACCACCTGCAAATTTACTTCTTTCCCAAGATGCCCTTTGCCAAGGACTTTCCTATAGAGTATAAAAGACCAGCCCTCTTGCCTCTGGTAGCAAGAAAACCTGAGGTGTAATTTACACTCTGAGACTCCCCTGTAGAATTATATTGATGTTAGGATTTTGCCTGAAACCTCCTCCTTCCCTGTCTTGCTTACTGTGGTACATGATGAGTTTTTCCCTATAGCATTTCTATAATAAATCACTTGCAGAAACAATCTTCATCTCAGAGTTTGATCCTGGGGATCCTGACTTAAGACATTACTATTCTTTCTTTGTTTCTTTCTTCTTTTTTTCTTTTACAGATGAGGAAACTGAGGATCAGGGCTTTTAAATTGCCGCAAATCACACTACCAATAGGAGGTAGAGTTGTGGTACCTTTTTTAGAGGGACCATTATTTTGCTGACTACAGTACTATAAGGCATACAGTGTCTTATCCACACTGTTTCTGAGTCCAGTCTGTCAATATCAGTACTCCACGATTATTGTGTTTGTTTTTCTTTCTCCCTTTTATCTCAAAAATCTCTATTGTGATGCAAGAGACCTTTCTGAAACCTCTCCTTTTTTCTGTGTTTAAAACCGCCCAGTGCCGCCCAATAAATACACAGCAAAGTCCAAACTCCTTATCCTCCTTGGATCCTCCTTCCCACACTTTTTAACTCTTCAGCCATATTTCTGCATGTACTCTGAGACTGGAATCCAGGGCAACAAAGCTAATGTGGGTTCTCCAAGATTAACACAAATGAAAGGAGGCCCCTTTATGCCATCTATTCTAGGTCCCTTGGAATATAATTAAAACAGGAATTTCAACATTGAAATGTGATTATGTTCAGATAAGGACAGTAAGGTACAGTGGCTTGAGCCAGTCTCCCACCATGTCTGGGGACTGGGACAGCTGACCCAGGTGTCCTACCTAAGGCTCAGGCCTGTGTCTTCACTTCTCCTTTCAACCCTTTACTTCTTCCAGAGTTGAACGCCTTACTTTCCTTGGCTCACTAGGCCATTTCATGGTTTCTGTTTGCCCGAAATGCAACCCTTTCCCTGCCTGCTCACCCTCAAAGAAATACCTCTGGGCCCACTTTCTTTCTTGGAAGCATTTTATGATTCTCATTTCTGTTACCAACACAGCTTTTATTTATGTCTCCATGTATCCTTTGCAGAAACACAACTTTCCAGGTTCTATGTTTTATTTGCATTCTTAGTGTCTGGCACATTGTCTGACACAGTGTAAAAGCTCAGTAGAATTTTGCCTGATAGCAGGTGTGTCTAAAGTGAGGGTGTCCAAAATTTCATTAAATGACCACTGCTTTAATATGAATTCTTGGTTAAGGCAGGAGAATCGCTTGAACCTGGGAGGCAGAGGTTGTGGTGAGCGGAGATCGCACCACTGCAATCCAGCCTGGTGACAAAAGGAGACTCTGTCTCAAAAAAAAAAAAAAAAAAAAACAGAAAGAATATATATATATATATATATACACACACATATTTTCTTTCTATAAAAGTATATATATGAATTCGTACTGATAGTATTAAACGATTATCTTTTTACACTCATAGTAATGTCTTACAATAACAGAATGCAGGAGAGCACATATCAATGAACAAAAGACAAAATATACTTATCCATGAAACTGAGGTTAAGAAACCAGTGTCTTCAAGAGCTGGGGACAGCTCTGCATAAACACTGGGTCTATGCAGACTTGAGAGATAGTGATGACATGGTAAGACACAAACTCGATCTATTTCATAGTTCGTCTGTGATCATTCCTATTAATAAACTTATTTTCACAACTGTTTCAATATTCACACAAAAATGTTAACCCAATCTGCAATTATACCCCTTGAATGTAAAATAAAACAAAAGCCCACAAAAAAAAAAAATGAATCCACACTTAAAAGGTGGATTTATTTAGCACAGTATGGAGTTTCTTAGACTTCTCTGTCACTGTTTCTAACAATGACATACTCAACCCCACAAAAGCAACTTTATTTTGTCTCTAGTTTTCATCTGCAAATTCATGTGGATTTTAAATTCTACTCTTTTGTAGGTTTGTATTTGTACTATTATAAAATGTGACTCTCTTTCCAAACTTTGCCTAAATTGCAGAATGATTTTTCCTGTTTATTCAGTGGTTTCCAGCTTTCCTGGCCCAGTCCGGGATTCTGCTCTTTTGCAGGTTTGTATTTGTACTATAATAAAATGTGACTCTCTCTCCAAACTTTGTCTAAATTACAGAATGATTTTTCATGTTTGTGCAGTGGTTTTCAGCATTCCTGGCCCAGTCCGGGGACACTGTGGGTGTGTCCAGCTTAAGTCCAGTAACTGGAAATACAAGCCCAAGTTCTGGAGAGTTCGAGCTGCAGAGATATAAATGGGGACACTTTCAACCTTGACTCGTTGGCCATAACCAGCAGAGTGGAAAATAGAAGAAGAGGAAAAACATTGAACCGCAATGTTATAACATCCTTTACTAGGCAGAGAAAAGAGGAAAGACCGGGAAAGAAAACTGTATTACAATGTGAAAATGTAATGTTGAGAAATTCAGGCATCTTGGGGTTAGTGAGAAGTTTTAGGGGCTTGGACTCTTCAAATCACATGTACAGAAATGTGTATTTTATCTGATATCTTATCAAATGACATTTATAGTGCTAATCTTTATCTCAAGACTTCACATCTTTTGGTGATTGCATCTTTTAGGTTTATAGCAGTTAAGTTTGCATGAAAGCACCAGGGCTGTTTCATTTCAGTCAAGAATAATGTTCATTGATTGTGCTTCTGCATTTCATACAACTATTTTAGAACTTGTTTTAGTTTTATGAGGGAATAATTGGTCCAACTTCTATATAACTCAGGAATTTACTCTCAAACAACACTGTCAATTAGTTACCTATCTCTCTGCAAATGATCTGGGAACATTGAGAGGAAAGGAAGGAAGAGGCAAAATCTGACCACTTAAATCTAAGCATATTAGATCATTTTGGTTGTTAGAAAGTCCTGAATGATGTGACTTACGTTCTTGTAAAACATCTCTTTGCATAGATTCATGGCCCAAACAATATATAAAGAGTGGAGAAGGAACCGCAGTTGCAAATAGTTCAAATCATTGCTCCATCTTAACTATGCAGTTCACAAAGTGTGAAGAAATTTGATCTTCTCAAAAAAGATAACAGGAAAAAAAATAATGTTTTGTTCTGTGACTTTAAAGTTTTGCAATATTTTACGTACATGAGAACGGGTACTTTAATAAGAACCCTTGATACTTTTGTTATTGTATTCAATATATGCTTATAATACAACAGGATCGTATTGTTTGGAATTTGGAAATATATTCTTTCTTGTGCAATCTTATACAGTGATACTGCTTGAATATAATTACGTGAATTTATCTTTCTTTTTTGTTGTTGTTTTGCACTCTACTTATTTGGTGCCTGTCAGTCTTTTATCATCAGTTTATATTCTACTAAACTCAAAAAGACAATCTCATACCTTTTGTAATTGTAGGCATTCCTTACTAGATTTTTAAATAGACTTCAAAAATTCAAGTACTTTGATTTCATGCCATCAAGTAGCTGGATCTATCCCCCCCGCCACCCCCCGCTTTTAAATGTTAGTGAGTAGTTCAATTTCTGTCACTTTCTAGTTTGTGAATTCTAAATCTTTTAAAACAATCTTGCCATTTTTCATGCACTTATCCTTATGGAAAACTCTATCAAACACTACTTATCTCTTACTTTTATGTTTTAAACTACTTTTTTATGTTACTATTCCGTCTGCTTTCTAAATGCACATATTAATGTATTCTTTTTATTCTCTGTAGCTCTTCTCAGTATATGAATTCAGTTTCCCATCAATCTCCATACAATTTTAAAAAATAAATGTGAAGTATTCTGTTATTTTAGTATGATATCTAGTGCCCATATTCTAATTCTGCCTCTTATTTTTAAAATAATTGTATTATTCATTTAAAATGACAACAATTTCAATTTCAAGAAAGTGAAAGGAAACAAAGGAATAATATTATGGGTTTAATTTTTATCAGTGAACTTGTAGGTGAAGAAAAGGTTTTGGGAAGGAAATGAACATATTATACTGCAAAATAGTAAGGAACAATCAGATGTGTTTTCTAGTTTCTGGAAAAGCATGTTTCAAGAAATTCAACGACAAATTCATCATGCTTGCTTAGATTGTTGAGAAGCAAAAGTGCTGATGAACACTAGGAAGCAATGAGAATGTAATTCTAATCATACTGTTTTAATACTTTTGCAGAACTCTCCAAACGCCGCTCTGTGTGGATGTCTTTCAGAATTTGATGAATACTAGGGGTCTTATTCTGCCCTTTTCTCTCTACCACAATATATACATTGTATCACACACACATATACACAGTATTGTGTGTATGTGTATATATATAGTATTACATGTATTGCACACACATACACATTTTCCAAATATTACATATAATTTCACGTAATTTATAGACCTATTAAGGCCCAACCATTTTCTTGGATAGGGGATTCTTTGGAAGTCCAGCTTAAATAAAGCCCTTATAGAACTTTTTTTTAAATTTATACATTATCACCTACAGTAACATTATCTACTGAACTCTTAGTACATGCTACCTGAACCTTTTATCACGTTTCTTCCTGGCTTGTATTACAACACTGTTGACATATCTCAGCCTCACTTCTAGGCTTCTTTGAGAGCATGACTCATGTTTGTATTCCTCACTGAGGTTGAATGAATAAGAGAAACTACAATAGCAGGAAAAAAACTGCACATGTAGATATCAGTGAATATGAAAGGGTCAAATGAATCTATTATAGTAAGCACAAAATCAACGGACACCAACAAAGTAAACCCCAAAATTTTAATGGTATTTTAATAGATCAAGAGGAACAAGCAGATTGCTATCTGGGAAGTTGGTAAAGTTTTGAGACAATTGTCTCCTACTTTCTCTATCATGGGGAGTAATTTTAAAAGAAAAATGGAGGGTAAGTTTCTTTGAGAGAAAATTGTAGCTTAAAACAGGTCATGGGATAATTAGAAATAATTTAATTGCTTTAGAGGATTTTAATCTTTCAACTGCTCTCAATTAGATCCTAAGGCAATAAAAGAATCAGGAGGTTTGGAAAACCATTGTCTGTAATCTCTGAAGAAAAGTGGACATTAGGGGAGTCAGTTGAAAAGCGAAGCTATCACCATTTTCTAAAGAGGAAAAAGGTGAACCTCACAAACTATAGATCAAAAAAATAGGACATCGAGAGAAAGAATATGAAGCTCACATAGGTTCACAAAGAATGAGTCAAATCAAACAACATACATTTTTATTTATAAAGCATGACTTGTTCATCGTCAATTCATGTTAGCTTAATAATTAGGCATTAATGCCATCACTGCAATGCATATGTCAGCAATGAATAATCAAAGGCCAGGCTTCCATCATTCTGTTTAATATCTTCGAGTAATGCTTATGTTTGCAAATGCTCTTTTAACAAATTCTCCATATGCAGCCTGTCCAGCACTGCACACAATAGACCTGTTACTTCCCCCTCACAAGCACTCCTAATATTTCATGTGCTTATCCAATTGACTTCTCCCACTGGTGCCTCATATCGAATTTGTAGAATCACACCTGCTCCTTTTTCAAAACTCTTCTGAGTTTTTTCTTAAATAATTCACTGACTCAAAAGCTGTCAGATATTTGAAGACTAGTCACAAAATTTTAATATTATAAATGTATAATGTAAATGTAATCAAGATTTGTATAATGTACAATGTACGTTGGTAAATAAAAGTATGCTGTGAATAAATACATATAAAATTCAAAATTTTACATAAATATATGATACAATGTAGCTCATATTCTTTTTTTTTTTTTTTTTTTTTTTTTTTTTTTTTTGGTTGAGGGGTACGGAGTCTCACTCAGTCACACCCAGGCTGGAGTGCAGCGGTACAATCTCGGCTCACTGCAACCTCTACCTCCTGGGTTCAAGCAATTCTGCCTCAGCCACCTGAGTAGCTGGGATTACGGTGCTACGGGGATTACTGGTCCACCACCGTGCCCAGCTAATTTTTTTTTTCTATTTTTGTTGTTTTTAGTAGAGATGGGGTTGGTCAGGCTGGTCTTGAACTCCTGACCTCAGATAATCCACCTGCCTCGGCTTCCCAAAGTGCTGGGATTACAGGCGTGAGCCACCGTGCCAAGCCTAGTTCATGTTCTTTAAGGACGATTGTGAATATTTTTATGTCCAGTTAATTTTTATTAAGATATTGATCAGTTAGTAGCTATATATGTTCTATAAATCCTATCTAGTTTCAACCTTAAATTGTTTGTATATACTAATCTAGTTTATTGTTTGCATATATTTTATAGTGTAGAGATTAGGCATTTTAATAAAGTTTTAAAATTTCCAGGACATACTGCTAATGACTATGCTTCCTACTATAGGCCACAATTTTTTTTTCTATTGTCAACAATATTTTGATAAGGATAATAAGGAAATAAGGAAATGTGTCCTTCATTTGTTAACAATAGGTGTTCAAGAATTTTAAAATGAAAATTGAAGAAGTAAAAGACACCATACATTGAGTTTGTTTGATTTCATGGCTTCAAGAGTTCAATAATTTATTGAAATATTTTACAGACCAAAGGAACAACAGATATATTGCATTTGTAAGCCCCCACATATTTTAAAGGATAATGGTTTATATATGAAAATTCCCTAAAGTTTACATTTCATCAGGAAAAGCTAAATAAAAGAAGTTTACATTTGCCTAGGACTAATAATAAGATTTATTTCCCAATCCTCTTCTCTGGAGACAAATGTAGGTCTCTCTTGAAAAGCAGAAAGATTTGCATATGAGGTATGATTTAGAGGGCTAGAAACATATTTTCCAGTCTCCCCAAAATGTTTCACGATGTTTTATCATGCTATCTGATAATTTTGCACTGAAGTTTTCTTTTTGAAATAAGAAAATGCAAATATCTCTGAATGCATCTCTTTGCTTTAGTCATACTCATATGGCTACTACTGAACAAAATATGTTCATTACAGGATGAAGGGAATGTTGCCAGCCAGCAAATCCCTAGAGTCTGCACCACACCAAACGTTGCTTAGCAATTTCCACGATGTTCTGTCTAATTTGCGAGGATCAAGGAGATGTTTGTGTATGTTACATAAAGCTGTAAAATTGGTATTTATTGTATGTTTCTGTATTGAAAGCTTTACAAACAAAGGAAATGGAAAGTTAACAGGTGGATATGATAGTGTGGTGCTACTTTAGCTGGATGGTAAGGGAGGGCTTCTCTTAGGAAGTGTTTTAGGCCAGGACTTGAATAATGAATAGTATCCAGTCATACAAAAATCTGGGGGAAAGACTTTTCAGGCCCAGGAGAAATGAACTTCTTTTCATGCATACAAGAATGAAAGTGAACATTACCTACTCTATGTCCTGAAGTGGGAAGTTGGCTTGCCAGAGAGTAGGTAATTTTCACTTTGATTCTTTTATGCATTCAATTATCCTACTACTTAGGTTGGTTCATAAAGGCTTCCACAATTTGGTTCGCACTTAAAATTTAAAACTTTCCTAACCCATTCCCACCATATATTGTGCTAATCCATGCATTTGTGACTTTGCGTATGCTGTTTTCATTGTTTAATATTCTTCTCAGGCATTCTTTCTTTCCTGATAACGAACTCATCTTTGAAAGTCCCCTTCAAGCATCTTCTCCTTTAGAAGGCCGCTTCTCACTCTCTCCTGCCTATGACCCATTGAATTGTTCAGTTTTTAAGCTGCCATTGTCTTGTGCATTTGACACATTGCTTTGCAATTACTGATTTACATGTCTGCTTTTATCACTGGTGAGGTTCTTTAGGAGAGAGACATTATTAATTCATCTCTGGGCACATATGGTCCAACATATTAAAAGTACTACAGAGTGCTATTACTATGTAGTATGTAGTATTAGTAGCAGTTACTCAAATCATTTTTAAATAAGTGAATATAATATCTTTTTGTTATTATGATTTAACATAAGATAGAATTTATCTTCAGAAGTTTCCATGATATATTTGTTCTAGTTAAAAGCCAATAGCCATTAGAATATTACCATAATTTAATGTAAAACAATAAAATATTAAATACAATAGTTCATATTTAATGTGAACTAAGCTCATGGAAATATTGTGTAAAGATTGAGTAATTATTGACATACAATTTTAAATTCAACTTTTCATATAATATACCTTATGATATATTTTCAGTCTACTTTTAAATATATTGGCATTGAGAGCCAGTTACTAATTCGTTGAATTCATTATTTCTTTTTAAGTTATAGAAGTAGAATTATGTTTGAGACATTCATTATTTTTAGTAGAGACAGGGTTTCACCAAGTTGATCAGGCTGGTCTCGATCTCCTGACCTCAAATGATCCACTGCCTCGGCTTCCCAAAGTGCTGGGATTACAGGCGTGAACCGCCACACCCAGCCACCCCTCTTATTCTTTAAGTACTTCCTTGTTTTCTAATGTACAAGATGTTCCATATTATTTTGTTATTTCTCTTCCCCAGCTCTGGAATCTGCCTTTCCTTCAAGGATCCTTGGTTCTTTCTAGTGACAAATTATGTTTAGAAACCAAGATCTGGGTATTTGACTTGATATTGCTATTGGCCATTGTTTCTAGTCTCTTTCAGTAGACAGAACTAAGAAATGTAAGAAGAAATATTTGAATGCATGTATATGTAATATATTAAGTACATTTAAACATATTAATGAGTTCATACTAATACTTTCAATAAACCACAATTCCCTTTTCATGTTTTCGAAGGAAAAATATACATTGTCTGTATACAGTGGACATAGATAGTAATAATAGTGATCTAGAAAAGAGCAATCTTAAATAGATCCCGTTAATAAAGATAACATATCTTGGAATTCTAGATATTAAAGAGAGAGATTATCTAGAGCTGTGTTCTAGATATTTTATAGTAGATCTTTGCTGTGCTGTTTTGGATTTGTGTTGGAGTAGAACAATCAGCTGACAAAAGCTCATCCCACATGGAAAAATCAAAGCATTCATTACAGAGAGAATTTTGAAATAAATGCATATATATATACACACACACACACATATATATATACACACACACACATATATATATATATATATATATATGGGAGTTATAAACAATGAAGGAAATAGTGACACTATCTATGTGGGAACAATACTAGTATCCTCCCTTTGGGTGAATCCAGTAGCTACAGATGCAATTCTGGGGACTCTGTTTAGCAATAGCTTAACTATTGCTTGGCTACAAGCATGGATAACTTGGAGTTGTAAATATCTAAATAAACAGGATTTGCAACATAAAAAGCTTTGTGACTGTGTGTCTGAATTCTTAGAGTTTTCTCCCAGCAAGACATTGGACGTGGCAGAATTTTCCGTAATGGTCCATCTCGCCCTATTTCATGAAAAGCCAGAGCTTCTCTACTTCATTTACTAACCCCAAATATATAAATTCAATAGAAGTAGTAGCCTGTTTTTACTGGTTTATTTGCTTTATCTAAAAAAAAAGGCATAAAATCTGTTTTTGATAGCATAACAAAACAAAGGTTCTCATTTTAATAATGCATCTCATATATACTTGGTAACTATTGCATAGTAATAATTTAATAACTTGAAAAATATTTATGCATGTATATTGAAAGAGGCCACAGTTATTATAAAAAAATAATTTGACCAGTATTGAACAGTGCAAATAATAATTATTTAGAAGCTTCTGTGCAACAGATGCCATATGTGTTACATTTTATTTGATCATCAAAACAAGAAAATAGTCATATATAATATTATCCCCATTTCATAGAAGAAACTGAGATTACATAATTTGTTCAACTTGACCAACTTCTTATAACTAATACATAGCAGAGATAAGGTTCAAACCTCGTTAGGTTTGACTCCAGACCCCAGCCTCTTTTGAGTGCATCATAAAAGCCTTTGGTCTGCCCGTGGCCAGTAACAACTTTTACTAAATTGATTTGTATTTGTAAAAGGAAGTTATTTGCCTATTTTGCTTTTTATTTGTAAAAGGAAGTTATTTGCCTATTTTGCTTTTTATTTGTAAAAGGAAGTAATTTGCCTGTTTTGATGATCCCCAGTGTTTTTAACATCAATAAGTGTGTCCACCACACATGATAGTTTTTGATAGTTTTTAATGTTTTGTTTCCATGATTACAAGATTAAAAAACTATTAATTAGTGATACTTTTAATTTTGATTTTATTAATTAAAACACATCTGTCTACACCGGAAGAAGAGCACTTGTGACAACAGCATAGACGGCTTCATTTTGAGGAGTAAATTACAATGGAACGTGAACCAAAGATACATAGAGAAGGCATGGACCACACAAATGTGATTGAAAGCTGGCCTGGAGTCATCTTAAATTGACTTTTTCCCACAGGGCCCCTAAAAGAGAGTAGAATCCCAACAGATAGAGTCTATGGAGAGATAGACTGCTGAGACCCACATAACGGTCAGTGAAATGCAGGCAAGGAAGGGATCCCTAGCAAAGAATGGGGAGAGGAATGGATGGTCTGAAGAATGCTGAAGGAACTGAAATGCTCTGCAAGGGAAAGAAGATCCAGTATTAACTTTGACCCCTGCCAAACCCAGGCAGCAACAATGGCTGCTCACAAAGCACCAGCACGAACGCGCTTTCTTGTGCCCCCACATCACTTCCCTTCACCATCTTGAACCCTGGTGTCATCATAAACCGTGTAAGTTAACAGCTGAGGAGGGGAAGAATGATACATTGAGAAAATAGAA